GTTCTGTACAAGCAGATTTTTCCTTTTATGGAAGCCATCCTCAATTGTGCACAAAAAAATGTTCAATTATGATACACTTCCATTCTCCTCTGCGTTAATTTTTACACATTTCTATGTGGTGAGATCTACGCTCTTGATTTTGAACACATCAATCACATCACTGCACAAATTTCTTTCACGTAGAGGGTGATGTCATCCATATTGTCAAGAACAATGTACGTATAACTTAATTGAAAAATGTTACTTCTATGAGATACGATGCTGCTTTGTTTCCTTGAGCTTACACAAAATTGGGTATGTTTGATAACTTAATTTTAATCATAAATCAAAGTTAACAATGAATTTTTACCACATATTTCATGGACCTTATAACTTTTCAACTACATATTTCATCAATTTTTATTAAAATTTACAAAAAAATCTAATTGTAATACATACCAAACAGGGTCTCTAAGTCTGAATGGATCAAAATTGGACATGATACATTGCATTTATGAATTGTGCTGGATGTACACTCAATTCATTACATAATGGATTACACCCCCTCACATGGGACCCATGAATATTTTATTGTGTATGGGCCCCCCTCCATGTGAGGGAGGTGTAATCCATTATGTGATGAATTGTGTACATTTAGACCAATCCTTGTAGTAATAGTACAATAATAATGCGAGAGAAAATGTACTTTATATCTTGTCGGCAAGAGAATAGCACTTTTGTCCAATTAAACGGAAAGGTCTTTTATTCGATGCATTCATTCATTCATTGTAATGTCAGCCGTCAGGTAACATGAGAAAGGGCAAAAGCACAAATGATATTTGAACTTTTAATTGTCTCTTACATGTATTTAAACATTTAACCCCTGTTTTGAGCTTTCTAGAATATATATTTTTTTAAAAATAATTTTAAGAATGTGTGGTTAAAGATCATGAATTTTTTTTAGTTTAACTGTAAAAAAATTTTATTGGAAAAATGTAGAGTTGAAGATGAGTTCAGATAAAATAATTTTCCTTAATCCGTATCCGAACTTTCAAATTTGACAACTCTAACGACTAATGGTAATGTGGTGACACGATAGTGCGTGCCTTATCCGAGTTCGAGATGACCTCCACATCTCCTCTCGCCCTGACTTTTTGAAAGACGGGTGAGGAATAAAATATCAAGATTTATCACTCATGTACTTTTTTTATTTATTTTCTTAGTACAAGTTAAATTTAAAAATACAAAAATTAAAATTGCACAAAATAAAAAACCAAGAGGGGAGAATTTTACTCGTCTCAATTACCCAATAGAGTGGGATGATGAAACCAAGGTAGTTCGTCACCCCTAGGTCTTATGTATCAAATGACAACTCTAAAATTTAATTGTACGTTGCTTTGTATATTCTCGTATCCTCTTTCAAACCCATTCAAATCTAGTAGTAAAATAAATGTGAAATCAAATTCAGTTGCATCATTAACTTATTGCCATACACTAAAGAATAAAGATGT